TAATATAGCGATATACATTAAGACTGAAAAGTTTTCGGAAATTCTCATTTAAAATTCGCGCGCTGTATATTTTTCGATATTTTAAGTTTATGTAGTTTGGCAGCACTGTCCTTAATTACTATGCCAAAAATGAGCGCGATCTGTCAGACAGTTCGTTTACGGCAGCTGTTGAAACCAGTTCCCCTCAGTAGTGCGTTGCGAAATGTCTTCGACGGTCGTACGACCGTCCTGAAAGGCTTTGTACCACTCATAAACTTGAGTTTTCGATAAAACTGATTCCCCATAAGCCTTTTGTAGCATTCGCAACGATTCTGCACACGAAATTTCGTTCGAAACACAAAATTTGATGCAAACTCTTTGTCCAATATTTTTTTCCATTGTTTTTTTCGCAACGCACTACTGAGGTGAACTGGTTTCAACAGCTGCCGTAAACGAACTGTCTGACAGATCGCGCTCATTTTTGGCATAGTAATTGTCCTTAATTGCTGCCAAACTACATAAACTTAAAATATCGAAAAATATACAGCGCGCGAATTTTAAATGAGAATTTCCGAAAACTTTTCGGTCTTAATGTATATATAAACATACGTTACAAATTTAGTGAAAGCTGAATAGCTGAAATTAAATCGAATATCGTTGTCAACAATATTAACGAACCTATTTATTTAAATGAAAGAACATAATCTGTAAGACTCTTCATAGAAAATAATTATTAAGTTAGTATGAAGGGTATTTAAGCAGAGCCTGATTATGCCATTTTCTTGAATTGAGTACTCTTAAGAACAATAAGTATTTTATTTATATACATACATATATATTACAAATCCGTCTAATCTAACAATATAATTTATTTATATAATTAGAACACAACTCTAAATTTTTTGTACTTTTGTTTTTGGCAATAAAACCCGTGATTTCCTATGTCTTGAACAATCTGCTCACATATAATAAAGCAAATTCTTCAAAGATTAGATAGAATATTTATTCTATACTATATAATTTTATTAATGAATTTATTTATCTAAAATTTACTTTGTGGATGGATTCTATGCGAAAATAACTTAGGCAAAAAATGTCCAAAACAGATATTAAAAATATCTGCAAATATTTAACGTAACATTAATAAGGCAATAAATTATTACTTTAAAGATGAATTCTGAGAACAGTCTGATAACAAGCCACCTTTATATGAACCCATTGCATATCTCAGCTAATATATCGATTTAACATAACATAGAAAAAAAAACGGTTCCATAATATGTATAATGAAGTATCAGAAGCTGAAGCAGAACCTGCTGTGCTATTTACCTCGGGTCAAAGTCATGACCAGGTTTACCTGGCAAAAAGCAGTAACCTTTTTGTATATTTAAATTGATAAACAACTTTAATCTTGTCTTTGTTGAAGACAAATATTAGGTATATTCATATTATCACCTGTCAATCTTCAAGTTTCAGCAACTGAATTTCGTTCTTTATTTTTTATTTGCTATTCATAATTATGAATTTCATTGAATAAATACCATTTCATATATGTATTTCATATAATATATATTATTTTATATATACATATATAGGCTATACGTGGTGTGATGACATTTTTATGTTAACATTTTTATTCCACTTAAATTACAGCACTGTTCAGAATTTCTTTAGAGTACTGATTGTACTCCGACCTTAACAGAAGGATTTTCGTTGACGAACAATACTCCATTACACGATTAGATTAGTTATAAACTATTCGATGTTAATAGTTAAATATAACAGTTTTTTATATTACTATATTTAAGCTAGGGGGTATTTTTGAAAGAAAAATTTATAGCACATTTTCAAAGTTTTTGTTCAAGATGTCTAGTACGCCAACAAAAGGTGTTACAGGGATGAAACTAGTGATGATCTAAAGTTCTAAATCCAGATTTATCTTTTACAGGTTCGATCGTCTTTTACTAAGCAGCATTATAAAAGTACTTTACTATACTGGGCCTCATAACCAGAATACAGGAAAAATTCTGCTCTCTCCATTATTATTCCCTATTTGCTAGGCTTTTACAATACCAGAGAGCCTCAACTCGAGCTACACAAAGAGCAGCAATGAAAGATAATACTTTACAATAAATAATATGACATCAGAGGAGTGAAAAAGACGAATATTTTTGGCAAAATTAAAAAAATAATAATCTATAAATTATATTTAATCACTAATATTCCATTATTTATTAAGTACCAGTAGATTTTTATCTCAAAGATACTCCAGTGGAATTTCTTATGAAAGTTAAACCTTAATTTCATATTCGCTTATTAAGGTGATATCACGTGAAAAAAGTCGACGTCATGCATATTCTGAACTGGTTATCGTCTATTAAAAATTTTTATGTGTTCAGAGCCTTACATACATAAGTATAAGTCTTTCCCTGCTAATTTCTGCGTATTATCGTATTGCTATGCTTATTTTTATGTACTTTGAACCAATAATGACTAATGAGAAAATTTTTACTTTTTTCATGTAAAAATAGATAAATTAAAGAAGAACCTTTTATGTGAAAAATTTCATAATATTGAGAAATAAAAAATATGAAATAAAAACATTAGTTTTTAGTACGATAAGATTTTCATTTATTAAAAACATTTATTTTTAACGATTTTCTAATACTAATAGTAATACTAATAGAGTATTTATTCAGAATTTCAGAAAATTCATATTTAATTTTAAAACAAATTAAATTATCTGTTAATTAATTATTTTTTTATACATAAATTACTTATGTCTTATTTCTAATGAGATTTTATATACATACAATAAATAAATTATTTATTTTTTTTTTTTGACTAATATTTAAATATCTTATTTACTATTCTTCGAGTCTTCGGTTGGCAGCCTTTGGTTCATATTTTTGATTTTTGTTACTATTCAATGCGGGTTGCAGTTGTAATGATCTGATTGATCCAATCTGTGAAAGCCGATACACGGACAAATACAGATGGTGCATTTTTCTGACCGCAAGGTATTTTGCCCCAAGACACAATGCCAATAACGGTGTATGTCTTATCAAAAAACGTGCAACATTCTTGTATAAGCGGGCCGCCAGAATCTGCTGTGCATATGCTAACACCGCCACTTAAAGGACCAGTGCACAAATTAGTTTCGTGTAGTGAGAATCCCTGTGCTTCCAACACTTTTTCACATAGTTCCAAATCTAATATTGGCATGTTAGCTTCTTGCAGTTTATGTGGATAGTTAGGAACCGCAGTCATGGATACATTACCCCAACCGTACAGTGTGCCATAACCTTCAGGTTGTTCATTTTGTGTAGGCAGTTGTGCAGCTTCCACATATTTGTTGAATTGTAATGGTGATTTAGTGTAGATTAATGCAATGTCGTATGGATTGACACCACCTAAATACAATTCATGCACGACGTAATAATCGATATGACGCATTTGCACATGCTCTTGTTCCTCTGTTGCATGTATGTCATGTGAACCCGCAACAATAACAGAGTTTTCAACTACTTGCCTCGAACTGAGGCAGTGAGCTGCCGTTAATATCCAATGTTCATTGATTATAGTCCCGGCGCAGTAATGTACAAGGCCTTGGTCTGGTGTCATTAATTGTATTGATACAGTGTAAGGTGCTGAGTGTGGCATCGCTTCACGTTTCGCTAAGAACTCCTTTGACCATTCCGTTTGCCTTTGACCATCGTGTGATAAACGATTTTGCATAAATCCATAAGTTACCCTTGGTGAAGTGCCAGCAAGAGGGATTTTTCTTGCCGGCAGTGGTACATTTGTAGCCAGTACCACCATTAGTGTTAAAATTATTGTTAGTAATATTATATATATGCATTTACAAAACGATAACATGTCTTCTTTGTTTATACACGCGCAAGTGTCCGTTTTTCAGTTTTTTCTTTATCGACAATTTATTTCTAAATACTTTATTTTCACTTTTTTGATTAGCAACTTTTTGCTTCACTAGTTTTCCGTATTCCTTTGCTGTGTGAATGTCTTTTTACTTTTAGCTTAACTGCTTATAACTCTCACCTATTTATAGCCAAAGGAACCTTATCTCTACATTTTAACTCAATACTACGCTCTTCGTTGCGGACACGAAGCTCTACGGTATACGAGCAGTCGAGCAGTCGTGAGACCATGCGAATTATGAACATATGAACGAATTTCTTTTTCCCAGTAAAAAATTTTATCGGTTAAGATACTTTTATTAACTTCTTTTACTTTTATTGAGACGATCTATATAATTTAAAAAGCTTACTCATTGCGCAAATATTATAGCGTCTCTATACCTATTTTGGGCAAAAAACTCGCCTCTACATGCTTAGTACATGAGTAGCGCATTGCATGAAATTCCAAAGTGTTGAGACAAGCACACCTGACGCCTGCGACAATGTTCTCAGCTACGTTCAACATCGCCACTAGGTGCTTCCCATAAGCGCAAGTAATTAACAAATTAATTCTTTATCAGTACCCCACCGCTCCATCACTCATTTTCCGAATTTCAGTTATTCGCGAGTGATTCCCTAGACAACATACATGATACATGCCATACATACCTGCATACAACCAATCAACCAATCAACCAATAAAGATATGGACGGACCTTTCTTATCTATCTAAGTTTTTAGTCACACGTTTTTTTTATCTCCTCAATTAGAAAATTATGATTTAGAACGTTTCCCAGTCACTTGAACTTTTATCATTATCACACACATGAGAATTTTTAAATAATAATAATTTATTAAAAGAGGCAACACGCAAAAACTTTTAATCAGAATTTTTGCTGAGACATTGATTAAAATCGCAATAATTGTGTCAGTTTGTATTAGATATAACATTAGGAGCATTTAAACAGGCATTAACATGTTTAATGAGGGCCCATTAATGTTTACATCTAAGTGCGAGTAGCGCAATTAACTGTTTTTATGAAATTGCCTGATTTTTTTATGATAGTATTTGCAATGCCATATTATTGAATTAAATGATTTATTCAATTGGTTTCTCCATTGGTTATATAGAAATGGAGGTAATAAAAACAAAATTTTTATCGTTACCATTCTATCTTTAAAATTTGATATTGGTTGATATGCAAATACAGATTCTTTATGTTTTTCAAACAGTTTCAACTATGTTTATTTGACAATGTTTTCTGCTCTCTAGAAATAATTTACAATAATGACAATATATCGTAAGATATTCTAATTCTTAATTCCGGGACTAGGATCCAAGCAGTACACAGTTCTGAAATACGGTGTTTGCGAACAAATTCCAATATAAATTCTCACTCTAACTGTACAGTTAGAGTACACTCGTATATCTTTTTATTTACTTCTTTTATGAACATTTTTTTAACATTAAAAATAATTTTACGGCAGAATTTTTTTTTATTTTTAATCCATGATTTTCGTGCAGTTAACGTACTTTTTTACTTTTTTGGTGCTGTTATCTGGCGCTTGGATTTTCGTGTAATTTATTTATTTTACTTTTTTTTAGACGCACAGCTTCTTCAATTAATTATTATTATTTAATAAAAAATTATATTCTTGCAGGATCATTACAAGTTACTTCATAGTGTAAACTGCAAAATGAAATAACATTTCATAGTGTCTTCATAGTGTCCGTTTTCCCTTGTGAGGTATAGAGCTGCAAAACTTCAAAACGAAATAACATTTATTTGTAATTTATTAATGAAAGTGATCTATATTGATCTGAATTATATTAAAAAATATATTTAAAAACTGATTATTCGTAAGATAACGAAACAGTATTTTTAATTTAATTTTAATGTAGGTAAAAATAGTTGACCAATAAATTGAGCCTTCTTAAATTCAAAGGAAACAAAATTTTATATACTCGTAGTCACAGTAACGATAAAATATTACATCTTATTAATTTTTTAATTTGTCTTATTAACATATGTATGAAATTTTATGCAATATATACATGTTCTAACCTGTTGCAGAACAAGGCTTGAATTCCATGAAACGTTTGAAAAAAAGGCGGTTAAGAATATATTCTCCACAAATATACTCAGCAGTTTATATCACAAGAGTCGTATACAATAAAACAAATGTGGAGAGATATTGGCAACAATTATATCTGGATTTCAGTTCTTTAAGCCACTGAATCATGTGGCCGGTATATTGGAAACTTTGTGGAAGAAAAACTTGTGGGTATGCATCCAGCACACCACATTTGCTTCGTGCTGAAAATGTAGGATTTCACGATAGCATTGCCGTTTCTCGTTTTGTTAACATGACGTTATTCAAACCTTGAAAAAATGAAAAAATTCAGTAAGAGATACTGCTTGAAGTAACAACGTACCTTTTAATATTTTATTAAAGTCTACATCGTTATTACAGAGTATCTGAAAACATTAAGATCACTTTTGCCAAACATTAACAAATGTATTACTTTAGCGAAAAAAGTACATTTAAAGTACTTTTTATCTTTCCAAGTCTCTATTAATTAAAAATTAATCATAATTCCTTGCCACCAAGTCCACCGACAAGAAGTATTTTGTTTTTTGAATTGATAAAATAAGCCTGCTGTCACTTCAGATCCAATAACTCTAAGTGTTATTAAATTTTACAATATATCAGTGATCTTAAGATCTACAGAGATCTCAAAGAGAAAAATAAATGGATTATAATTTTGATTTTGAATGATGGCATTCATTGAACGACATTGAGTCTATTTTGGTTTACTTTATATAACTTCAGTAATCTGGTGCATATTTGGATGATATTGATTAAAGCAAAATATTTTCTCATTGCTAATGCTGTAAGGCTCCAAATATTTGGAAATCTTTGCGTCGAGATAATTATTTTTATATAACCTCTGAATTAATTAAAAACAGTTCATGATAAGATAGTGCTTTTTAAAAATTATTTTCATTAATGAATCTTTTTATTTAAGGACACATAATGAAATGTCTGAGGCTTCAATTCTATATAACAGTGTTTACAAAAACTTACGAGAATAAAATAGTGATGTACACATCAGAAAAATTCACATTCCAAAGTCCAAACTGATAACTATTAAACATTTTTAAGTCCCTACTCATCATTTATTTATTTTTCTTATTAAAGCCAATTTTCAAAATTTTTTAATATACTGATAATATTACTAATGAATGTAGTTACGTGTAATCGGAAGCGGTATTTCTACATATCAGTAGTATGAGCAATTGATTTTTTTTTAAATGTCTCCAAGTTATTTATAGCAACAACTCACATTGATTTATAATGAAATAATAATATTCGTGTAAGTTACACTTTTACAC